TATTTTTTTATTTTGTTGTATAATAAAACAATACTTAGATAAAACGAATCAAAGTTTAGGAGTGGGGGCTAAAACGTCATTTCTTAGTACAAAATGTACTGAGAAGTGACGTCACGCGACATTTCAAATCAATATATCTTCGAAACTATTCGTTTCCGTAAGAAAATAAAAAATACGTGTCTAATGTTTTTAAATAAAAATTAGTCGTCTACCCTAATTAGAATTACAGAAGGATACGAAAATTATTTATACTAATATAAAACAGACTGCCTCGTAGTGAAACCGCGCGGAATTAGCTAGTATTATATAAAGCTAAAGATTTTGTTTGTCTGTTTGTTTGTTTGAACGCACAAATCTACGGAATTACTGGGTCGAATTGCATAGTTCTTTTTGTATTGGATAGTCCATTTATCCAAGAAGGCTGTAGGCTATAAAACATCATGCTACGATGAATGCGAGACCTGCAGATCGTGTAAAAACGTAGGAGTAGCTAGTCAATAATAAAATTGAATAATTGCCAACTAGTAATTTTTTTATTTTCTACGAATTTTGTACGAGACTGTATTGTAAGGACACGTTATTTTAGAGTCAAATAGCATACTTATTTTTTTTTAATTGCTGGAAAATACTAAAATGAAGTTAGTCATAAAATCAATTAATGAAAGTGTGATTATTTTATTGTATTGAACAATCGAAATAATTTAATTTTGATTAAGGAAAGTACCCGATTATAACCAGCTATAACTATAGTTGCTAACCATCTGCCAATTAAGGAGTTATTGATCAAAATCAATATGTTTAATACACTTATGCAGTGGACATACTGTGCATATATTCAAGAATGATAAAACTACATAAATGAATAGGAAGATACTTACATGTTTCTTAGCTCTTTGTATCTCCTTGACGATATCTTCATATAGAAAACCGAAGAGGCCATCCACATCTTTACCTCTTTGTATTAAACATGATGATAGAAGCTGAAATTAATAAGCAAAAATAAATATTAGAGCAAAGTATAGAAATAGGATTATTGCTAAGATTGCATCGTTGGCTGAGTAGTCGCACGTGCGACTGCCAGGCTAGCGATTTCCAGGCCAGGCAAAGTATTATTGGGCTTTTCAAAAAAATCTCAGTAGTAGCACGGAGTTTGGAATTGTGCTCAGTATATGGCAATAGGCATACCGCCTATTACACGGGACTCATAACATAAATAGTGAAATGTGGTTGTTACATTGTACAGTGGTATTAAGCGCCGTAATGTGCACTTCTGCCTACCTGGGGGATAAAAGGCGTGATGTTACGTTATGCTAAATATTATCTTACTTATATGTATAATCTATATAATGATATTGTATGTTGTCTTCAAATTATTGATCCTAAACACAGTTTTTAATTATTATGGCTCAGTAGTGACCTAAATTTTACAAGACAGCTAAGCATTCGTTGGTGCGCCTATAAAAACTGATAATATGTGCAAATTTTTTTATTTCTTTTTCTCTTTTCTGGATATCCTTCAAATTGGATTGCACATCGATAACAAAAACAAATATGTGTTATTACCCTTTAGAAATCGATTAGACAAAACTTATATGTGCACCTTATTCTCATTTCTGGCTATGACAAATTGAATTTGATTGGTTATCATCAATACATAGTATAAAACAAAGTCGCTTTCGCTGTATGTCCGTATGTATGCTTAGATCTTTAAAACTACGCAATGGATTTTGATGCGGTTTTTTTTAATAGATAGAGTGATTCTTAAGGAAGGTTTATATGTATAATACATGCATATTGCACCCGTGCGAAGCCGGGGCGGGTCGCTAGTGTTACATAAAACACATGTCTACTGTTTTCTAAGATAAATATTTTTATCAAGTACATCAGAATGGAAAAAAAAATATTGAGGATGAATAGTACATATTATCATTTTCACTTTTATACATAGGGTAAATTCCCTTAACGCCATGTACGTCAGGCTGGCCCGGCCCCATGAAATTTAATAATGAGATTGTTATCAATCCAATGTACCCGGGTATACTAATATATGTAACACCTTCATTTTCAATGTAACTCTTTTTAAAAGAAATTACGTGCACTTCTTAGTGGCCGGGCCAGCCTGACGTTTTCAGCCCGGCCACCTTGTTT